CATCTTGAGTTATTCATAAAATCATTTGTGTCTTTGGACTGTAATTAGTAATGCTAATTTGGCAGCATTAGGGATTGGAGCCGATGTAGAATTATTCGCATTTGAAAGATTCACATGTCTGAATGGATAAGCGCGGGCGGGAGACGCTCTCAAGACTTCCGTTTTCAGTGAGAGTGAAGTGCTAATAGCCACACTCACCGGTCAGAGATACAGATAATGGCCATATGTGTAGAAAGAGTTGTTGCTGTAGTGATGGGTGGAATTGGGCATTAATGGAAAAGAGAGACTTGATTCACTATACATGTGATGGAATAGAACAGTTTAGGATTAGGGGAGTTTTACATCATTAAAATAGGTAATTCATATACATTTAAAAGTAGGTGTTTTTAGGAGTCAAATGGAGATCCACAGATGTATATTTTGAAACCTGTGATTGTAAGTGTGGTAAGTGATTGTGTGAAATTCAGATTTTAAACTCTCTTTCAACTCACAATTCACAATATACAGGAATTGGAATGTAAATAAATTCAGCAGGTTATAAAAAATGTTCTTCCGCTAAGTTAATTCATGAAATACACTGATATAAGTTAATGATTAAAATAACGAGAATTTGACTGTAAGTCATATAAACAATGATCATTCAAAGTTTATCTTGACAAACTTTCTTTGTCTTGAGAAACTTTTTAATTTCAGTTCATTTGAATAACTTAAGAATTAAAATTGCATCCTGTTCAAATTTAAAAATAGAAGTTCAATAAAAAAAATGAATACTGCAAATCTGATTTAAGAGGCACAGCTTTAGTCAATTATTATTTGTACATTCATAAATAACAAAAAGGAAATTCATTGCCAAACATAGAATAAGAATGTCTCTTGGGAAATCACCAGGTAGAGAGTGCTACATTTACAGTTAGTGAGGCTGCACAGCTTCCTCTAAACTAAAGCCTCAACAACAATATAACAATGTATATTTGAGTTCTTAAGTACACCACTAGGTGGTGTAGTGCCTTTCTTTCTTTCTTTCTTTCTTTCTTTCTTTCTGTAACTGGAGTCATGTCTTTTTCGAGCATTAGAGGGGGAGACCCATGAGGTTAGTTGGTTAGCCTCAGGTGTTAGGCACACTAACCCAGCATCTGTTTGTACTCTAACCTCTGCAGATCTTTAGTCCAGAATAGCCCTCAGCCTTCACACAACCTTCTTTTAATAACTCAAAATCCCATGTTGAGAATGAATGCCTTTCCAAAATGCTGTCTTTTGTCTTTCTCTTGTGGATTGTTCTTTAGCCTAAAGGGGCTCCTATAGCATCACCTCCAAATGTGACTTGGCTGTATAGTATATAAATATGGATAAATATCTTTTATTCTCAGTTTTACAGTATTAAAATATGCTATTCTTGTTTTCCGGGCTTGTTTTCTTTTGTTTCGATGGAGTAATGATGGGGTTTTTGCTCAGTGCAGTACCCAGAGTTTAGTTCAGGACCATGGACAGAGACTAGTCACGTCCACAGCAAAGCATTGCTGGTTCCTCATATATAAATATTTATGTACAGTGCAATAAATATATACACATATATATTAATTCCTTACCAAGTAAAATCTTCTGTCAGCAGAGAACATTAGCCACTAAAAGTATATAAATACATGTAGCAGATCACACATATACTGCAACTGCTTTATTCTAAATTTTATAATAAGTATATAAAATAAATACATGCATATACCTGTCAGAAAGAGATTTTCATTAAAGATTTTGCAGGACAGATTCAAGGCTTGAGAATTGAAGATAACTGGAGACTGATAGCATATGCCATTTGATATTAATGACTTCCATCATTAAAAACCCTTTTGGGAGGAGACGAATAATGGAGAAAATTATACCCGTGATTAATGAAACTATCATAATTTGAAAGATTATAATTTTCCACAGGCTTTTCATTTTCTCATCTTTATTTTCAAAACCTGCAACAATGGAGTGGGGCCAGTTTTCACTCTTCTATAAAACATTTCTTTCATGCATCTCAAGCCAAAATACAACCTGTATTTCATTCTAAAATATTAATTTAATATATATTACAAACCCAGCAATACAGCTTGTTTGTTTATAGCACAATGTGACATAAAAGACTCTGTTGCATCTCAATAATGCATCTAGCAGTGGAGGGCTGTTTGTTTTGTTAGACTGTTCTAGGAGCTTTATAAAGCCGCTGGGAGCGCTAAATCAGATCGAGCAGTGTTTTCAGGCAAAGTTAATCAGCTCAGGCCAGCAGCTTTTCCTAAACCCTAGAATCCAATACATTTAGTGGGAGGAGAGAGAGAATTCAGCTGATCTTGGGGAATTTCAGTGCTGAGCACATCCTGCCCGGTTCGGTCTTTACAGAGTGTGCGTGCCGGCAGGCTATGTGACTCACAACACATACACATACACGCACACCACTCCCCCTCCCGTCATACGCTCAGATCTGTGATGACATCACACATTCCCATACAAGCGATTGGCTGGAGGCACAAGAGGAATCGTTCCTGCAGAGAGAGTATAGACAGAGGGATGTTGAGACCGGTGCTGCAAACATGCACACATTCTCACTTTCTTCTATTACGTTGGAGGGACATAGACAGATTTTCATTCTGATTACTTCAAATCGTATGGCGAGATAGGGAACCTAAAGAAGAGGTGCATGAAGGTCTTCCTCTGTATTGACAAGCAACATCAAAAGCTCCACAAAAGGAAGGTCAAGAGTAGTTGACCTTTGACCATCACAAGTGGATGTGCACTTCATGAGCTTAGGATCACAAAGGCATTCTGGGAATGGATGTCAAGGGCAAGGTGCCAAGACGATGGGAGGATATAGCTGCCAAAAAGAAATCTGGCACATCCCTCAACTTAGTGCAAGGGGTTTCTCGACACCTGCGTGGTAAGAGATTGGCAGACTTGTTTATAAATGCATCTGGTGTCAATGATGGACATGTGCATCTAAGTGAGTTGCACATTTTATATGCAATACTTTAGGTCAGATTTGCACATTTGACAGCATATCTGATTGCTTTTGGTGCTTCTATGCAGTGAAATTTTTTTTTTAAGAATTTTCACTTAGAAACTGGTAGTAAATTTCACAATTAATTACAAAGAAACAGCTAATAACACATTGAATTAATTGTGAAATTTTGAGTTAGAAAGACTGAAATGGCATTTTCATGTAAAACGTACTCCAGTAATCTTTGTTTTATTTATAACTTCGATTTTTGGCAATGACAGGGTCATCTGTAGAGCTCAGCAGGTTCTTGGATGTGCTGTGGATCAATTCTGACTGTGCAAGAGAGACAGTCAAGGAAGTGTTGATTAATCGTGGTTATTTTGGAAATTTAATTAGGAATTTGAAAAAAGATGCCTGGTTATTGTTATACTTCTGCAGTGGGGATGTTTTGTGGGTGTATATGTGTCAAATGCACATACAGTGAGTTTGCATCTGCGAATCCCGCTCAAAGTCACCCTGTCCTTATGACGGTGGGCTGGGCACACACTCTCTCTCTCACACACACACACACACACACAC